GACGGGCCAACTTCCACAACTCACTCCTTCCTTAGACGGAAGTTCAGAAAAAGTTTTAACGGCAGCTTTGTGGGGGGGGACTTAAATAGTAATATAAATACATACATGCAAAATTAAATAAGTGACTTGGAAATAATAAAAAAGAAACATGTTGATATAATCAATATATAATAATGTTTAAATAATGTATTTAAAAGAGACGGCTTCTTTGTTAATTTCATACGAGACCATCAGACGGTCCTTTTCCCTTTCCTGCTCTGCTCTTCTGGGTTTTCTCTTTATCCTCTGGTGGGTTATTTGGCCACAGTGCCAGTTGGTTTAACTCATCTCAGTACAGCTTTGTATTGTTGAAGTTATGTAGTAACTTAATTTGGTTTCCAGATATTGCTCTGTGTAGATGCAGTGAAGGCCTCAAACTGAACTGTCAGACAGAGTTGGCCTTGAGGACACCAGAGGGAACTTAAGTCGACGCTGGGACTTAAAAAATAAAACTTTGTGGTCAGAAACATAAATTAGACAGAGAGACCAACACTTATACGAATTCAACCAGGTGCGAAGGACACGTGAGGACGGCCCGCCACACTCCTCAGAGCAGAGTGATGACACAAGCTGCTGATGATGGAAAAGAGTTTAATACTCAGTCGGGGGAAGATTCAAGAGGCAGTTGAGAGATAATCACGAGCTGGTGTTTTAAATGTTTTGATTAATTAGAAGTACACACTTTCTTCCCAATGCCCATGCAGTATGTCTTCCATGTTTACATACAAATTCTGAAGGAAATCTGACGTTAACATTTTGAGCTGTGGTGTGTTAAGCGTGAGACGCGATCCTCCATCTGAATCTCTCTCTGTCGATATGATCAAAGAACCAAATGTGTCCTGAATTCAACATGAAGCAAAACAATAACAACTCAAGTTTCCAAATGTAAAAACATAAAAATATTATTTGTGTCCCACAATCTGCTTTAAAATACAGATAAAACAATCAGACCTGTATTATTCTCAGTAAACTTTGTTCTCCAGTGAGTTATTTATCTTAAGCTTTAAATATAAAATAAATAAGTATTTCTAAGAGACAGCATTACAATACAACACAATTGCCAAAATATATATTAAATCTATCTTTAGCTGTGATCTGACACACGGGAAGCGATTTATGGGCCTTGTAATTCATTTTCAAAGACAGTCGAGAGCGACGAGTGGGCGTGCGACCCCATGGGGGCCAAGCGACTACGCAGGCGGAGCGTCGCCCCCCCCTTGAAGAGACCTCAAGCTGGTCTTTAATTAAAGAGTCAAGTCATCATTACTGAGAGCAAATTTTAACAGATCTGCTTTTTACTTTTATCTTTTACTTAAGCGGAATATTGTTGTACTTTTTAATCCCAGGCCAACGGGGGCCATTTGAATTGCCTTTAGTCGACCCGCCTCTGGGACCAATTTCCCAGGAGAGACCAAACCAGGAGCTGATCTGCAGTCGAAACAGTCACACAAGCCCCTCCACCACGTTAAGGTAGCAATCCATGAAGGGCGAAATGTCTGTTTGCACTGATGAAGCAGATCAACATGGTGAAGATCTTCAAACGCCAGATTTACACCTTCACACCCACAGAAGGAATGAAAATCATGTTGAATGTATGAAACACATATTGACAAGTGGAAAGAGTCTGTGACAAGTCAGAGTAACTGGTCGTTCACTGCTTCAGCAGCAGCAGACTGTTCTGGTTTCTTGTCTGCATTTCTTTTATATTTCCAGCCAACAGCCAATCCAACAGCAGCTAAACAAACCAGAACAAAAGCTGCTACAGATCCGTAGTAATGTCTGTAGTTTCCCTCCTCGACGTCTCCGCTGTTGGACCCTGAAGATCAAAGTGCATATTAGTCAGGAAATGATGAACAGTGGAACAGCCTCCATTTACTCTTCTATATCTTCTATATTCCTCATGTTTGACTCTCAGAATCAACATGGAATAAAGTGCAGCTACAACATGGCACACAGACACACTGACCTCCACAAACTCACCTGAAACCTCCAGCTGGATGATTCTGATTGGCTTAGTCTTGATGATGGCTCTCTTACGTCTTGATCCTTCTGTTGCAACTCGGCACTCGTATGTTCCAGCGTTGTTCCTGCTCACGTTCTTCAGAAGTAAAGACACGTTTCCGTCCTTCAGCTCTCTGTCCAGCAGCTGCACCTGGTCCTTAAAGGATGGATGCTGGAGGGTTTCATCTGAGCGTCCATCTCTGTAAAGGAGGACGTACTCTGGCTCCAGGTCAGTTCTGGTCCACTCTACGCCTCTGATGGAGACGTTACCAGCCTGACATGGCAGAATGACATCATCTCCAGGTTTCACTCGTACCACATCTAAAACATCAGAGAGAAAAAGTAATTACATTTCTTTGCTTCAACAGAACCTGAGATCACGGGAACTAGAGGTGTGAATCTTCAGACGCGTCACGAACCGATTACGATTCAGAGGGCTGCGGCGTGAATATAAAATGTTTAGTGTTTATTTTCTATACAGGATTTATTTTTTCTCACTGTGTGACTTAGTAATGTTACAGCAAAGTTATGACATGTGGCTACTTTCTAACGTTACTTCCTATAAATGCAGCGAACGTTACAAAGCTGTTAAAGTACGTAGTGTTGGTGTCCTGCTCAGCTTCCAGACCAGAGTCTGATAAGTCTTAAGATAGGCTCAGGAAAACTCAAGAATTTAAATTAACTTTTGGGTATTGACCAAAATAACTTAATTATTAATCACAATGATTGTGTGTACCAAATACAGACTAATGTGACAATTATATGCACATGTTTGAAACTTTATTGATCCCATGATTTCAACTACATTTGATGATGTTCATAAATATTAACATTTATGTAAAGGCCCTAAATATATTTTTAGCAGTGAGGGTAACACCATTCATAGTTTATGTGAATTATTTCTGCTTATTAGTTACTAAAATACCTTTACAAGATCATAAAGCACGACACAAGTATAAATGTAAGGATATGTAGACAGCTACAAAGCTATTAAAGAAAAATATTTAAATCTTTAACATATTTTCATTGCTTTCCTTTAGATCATGCATTTTAAAGATAAAGATGTTTCAAATCTAGTATTTACAATCAAAGTGAAGTCCAGTGGACCAATGCGACCTTATTCAGGCTACAGATATTCTAGACGTTTCTGAAAAGGGGCTGGTCTGTTGCTGGCGGAGTGAGCAGGAATGGCAGCCGGGAAAACTTAAAAACGTTGGGCTGAAGCCAGTAATAGCCGTAAGTATCAAACGTTTTGGAGTCGGTAATAGAGTAAATAAAGCGATCGGATGATTTTATTGCCTTTTTCCCCTCCCAATCACACAGTGACTCTCTGGTACCGTCACGTTCTTCCCTCATCAGCGGAGAAACTGGATACTTGACGATAAGAGTCGTATTACACATTAACTAATATAAACATGTTCACAACTTTCCTTACAAACATGAATCTGTTCACAATAAAAGTTCGTCTTTACCAGAAGCTGCTGGAGACAGAAGGATAAACAGGAACACGAACTTATCCATGAAGAGGAGGCGAAGTGCGTCTGCTGCCGTCAAGTTACCTGTTACTTCTGTGCAGATCACAAACTAAAACCCTTGGTGGGGGCGGGGCTAACTATTGCATTATACCGCGTCCTGTGTAGAAAGTATAATCTGCGGTCTAAAAGGAAATAGATGTCTTTGGGTCATGTCCAATAAACCGGGTTACTGGTGTCTGAGCGGGATCAGGATCCGCCCGCGCGTCTCCGCCGCCATCTTTGCGCGTCTCCGCCGCCATCTTTAAGCACAAAACCCCGCAGAGAAAGATCCAGACTGGGAGGAAACTCCTTTACGTTGCTGTCGTCGCCGCGAGGTGTAAATTAACCACACCTGTGTCTGTTGTTGTCGTTTTAAAACATTTCATAAATCACTTCTTATTCTTATTCTTCGGTGTCGGTGCGGTCGCGCAGGGAATATTGCACAGTTATATCCCTACCAGAATAAAAGCACGGTAGTTTGTTGCAGAAAGGAAAGAAAGTCAGACTCATAAATCTTGAGTGGACTCACTCAGAACTTTTTCTGCACACAGAAACCAGGTGGAAGAAGTATTTCAAATCTTCAGAGTATCACGGTGTGAAAATACTGCACTGCAAGTAAAAGTCCTGCAGTCAAATCTCATATAGAAAGTAGCCTGTCACTGTCAGTGACCTGAGCTTTAAACAGCGTCACAGTGGAGGTGCTCATGCTGCAGTAAAAAGTTTCTATCTGGATTAATATTCATATTTTTCTGCTGCAGATGTTAGAACTTTTAGATCCTGTTAAAGTTTGGAACTCGTGTTTTTCTGTTGTGAACCAGTTATATTTCTCTTTGATGACCCCCTGACCTCCCTGGCTTATTTCTGACTCAATAGCTGGACAGAAGATGTTGTATACCTGCAGATCGTCCATGATTATGAATAAAGATTAATTTAAAACAAACACAAAAAAAACACGTCTTCTTCTTTGAGGTTTATGGTGGTTGGTTTAAATCTTTCCCTCAGCGTAATATCTATCTCTTCTCCTGAAATGTCCACAATGTCCAAGAATCTGCTTGCAGCATCCAACAACATCTTAATCCTCTCTGACTTGCTCTTTATTTCAACAGCACAATTTAGCACCATGGCAATGAATACCAGAAATCGCTTCTTGTCCATACAGACTGTCCCGTAATAATATATACATAAAGAAAAGATGTGGAAAGTAAGAGCAACAGTGGTCTCAGTGGTGATCGGAGCACCAGGGGGCTGTGACCTCCAAACTGGGAGAGTGGCTGCAGCAGATTCCAGGTAAACATCAGAGGTCTCTGTCCAGAAGAGTGCAGTCCTATGAACAGATAAGATACTGCGCAGAACCCTCAAACTCCCAGGCCTCTGGTCCAGGACCCGAGCTTGAGGACACATACCACCTCACAGGGGTGAGAGGGGGGTTGAATTTATACATACAGGCTATTTTATATTTTCCCTTCTACCATCATATTATTTCAAGCCTCTATGTTTCACAAACTGGAATGACTGACTGGTTGTGAATCAATTCCAATAAAGTTGATTTAAAAAACAAAACAAATTGGCATACAAAAAGAGACGGGCAAGAACAGAACAAATAAAATGCAAATACAAAACAATAAAACAAAAGCAGAAAACCTGTTGTATGAGGGAGATATAAGTTAATAAATAGCCTATAAATAAAGCCTTTTTTACTGAGTAATTTACAGACTATATATTTAAGGGTTTTGATAGTTCTTTTCAAATGAAAACTGAATTTGAAGTGTTTCGGTCTTATGGATATAAAATTTGGACCAGAGATCAGTACTTTTCTGATTTGGCGCCTATTACACATAAAAATATTTCCCACCAAATGAGAGCTCGAGGATCTCTCCATTGAAAGAACATATAACAACACACTTAGTAACTTTGGAGATATGCTTTTTATAACATATATTCTTCGAGAGGTATCCAAGCACTTATTACGGCAAGATACTCATATTCACAGAATTGACCTCTGTCAGTAAGTACATCTAAAACAAACATCACATCCTTATCAATCTGTAGGTTTCCTCTGAATGAAGCCCTAGCTTGACGCTCCATCCATCCCCTCGTCCGAATCCACATCAACAAATCCAGAGGACCACAAGTAAAAAAACATCCGTTTACTCAGATAGCAAGAAAACATCAGTACAGAAAAATTACAGAAATTAGATTTTTAATTAACAGGAAAAATAGGAAGAGAGAGAGGAGGTCTAAAAACTATGTGGCTCCACTCTCTGACTGTCCACTAACTTCCCAATCTTTCTCCTGAGAGTTTTCCCAAGCAATTAAAGGTGAATGCTGTAAAAAGGAAAAGACGGCAACAGCCCTCGATTGCCCAGATATTACCAATGTAATATAAATGCTCTCTAAATTATCTACACACATTTTAAGTGCAAGTAATCAAACAATTAACTCCTTGCATTACTGTAATATTAACTGGAAATACATGTTTACCGTGCACTATTATTAAAGTTCAGGTACTGAAATCTGAATCAACAGTTCACGTAACCTAGAGTTTATTGTGACAGTAGAAAAATACAAAAAAAAACAGCTTTCAAAATAAAATCTATCATCGTCTCCAACAAAATGCACAAATCACTAACAAAAAAATTTGACTGTTGTTTTTGTTGTTGTTTTTGTACTGGTTTGTTCTGTAAATATGTTCAACTACTAAAGCTTGGGTTTATTTATTCATCACAAATCCATTATCTAAATGTCAATTAAATAGGTAATGTTGATGTGCACATTACGAGAGATGGTTCTTCTATATTCGGGCATCGTCGCTGCTGCTAAACTTTCACTCAAATTATTTAATATCAATGCGGAACAAATGATTTTCACCAGCACACTGTGTGAACATTGTAAATCACGCTTTGCTATCTTCCTCTCCGTAGTAGTAGCGTAGTTCACATTGTGTCCGTTAATAAAAGTCTGTCTGTTGTTTCTACAACTGCTGGGAGGCGGTCAACGCCAGCCAACATCTCCCTGAGCTTCAGAAGCTGAGCAGGACGGGTCGGAGTCACATAACGACACACAGTGTTTCAAGGGAAAGTACATGAATACACAATATTAACAGGATTAAATACCGAAATAACCGACAAGGGGAGATCACACCGGTTAATTTCGGTTTCGATTATTATTCGATTAACTGTCCAGCCCTAATATTTTAGTAGGCCTACTTTTTAATCCCAGATCAAAAGCTGGATATTTGAATTGTATTTAGTCTGACCCGTCTAAGTAAAGGTAATACATAATAAGTGAGTTAAATAACTTGGCAAGTTGGGAATTAAATATAAACCTGTCACTTACAGTCGATGCCTGTCGAGCTTTCAGTGACTATACCAATTACCTGCATTTCAATTATTAATAACGCTGTGTGAAAGATTTCTTTCTATCATTTTCACTAAAACTTACACATTTACGGATGAGAGCTGATGACAACAGTTCAGTTTATTTACCTCATTAATAACAATTTCCCCTGGCGGAAGATTGCAGTTAATATTCCTCTTATATTATTAATAATAATACTTAAATATTATAGACATATCATTGTTAATAAAATATTAAATATCAATAGGTGTTGTGAAGTGACTTAATTCATAATAACTGTGAAACCATTATTATCCTCAGACTATAATCGTACCAACAATCTGTAATCGTTGCATCCCTACATGTGCTCAGGTGGAACGAATCTGTGACAAGCTGACCTCTTCTTCAGCAGCAGGCTGTTCTGGTTTCTTGTCCTTATGTCTTTTATATTTCCAGCCAACAGCCAATCCAACAGCAGCTAAACAAACCAGAACAAAAGCTGCTCCCAGTCCGTAGTAATGTCTGTAGTTTCCCTCCTCGACGTCGCCGCTGTTGGACCCTGAAGATCAAAGTGCAATTTAGTCAGGAAATGATGAACAGTGGAACAGCCTCCATTTACTCTTCTATATCTTCTATATTCCTCATGTTTGACTCTCAGAATCAACATGGAATAAAGTGCAGCTACAACATGGCACACAGACACACTGACCTCCACAAACTCACCTGAAACCTCCAGCTGGATGATTCTGATTGGCTCAGTCTCAATGTTGGCTCTCTTACGTCTTGATCCACCTGCTGCAACTCGACACTCGTATGTTCCAGCGTCATTGCTGCTCACGTTCTTCAGAATTAAAGACACGTCTCCGTCCTTCAGCTCTCTGTCCACCAGCTGCACCCGGTCCTTAAAGGATGGATGCTGGTGGGTTGGATCTGAGAGTCCATCTCTGTGAAAGACGACGTAGTCTGGCTCCAGGTCAGGTCTGCTCCACTCTACAGCTCTGATGAAGACATCTCCAGCCTGACATGGCAGAATGACATCATCTCCAGGTTTCACTTGTACCACATCTAAAAACAATAAAACATCCAGAGAAAAAGTAATTACATTTCTTTGCTTCAACAGAAGAACCTGAGATCACGGGAACTAGAGGTGTGAATCTTCAGACGCGTCACGATCCGATTACGATTCAGAGGGCTGCGGCGTGAATATAAAATGTTTAGTGTTTATTTTCTATACAGGATTTATTTTTTCTCACTGTGTGACTTAGTAATGTTAAAGCAAAGTTATGACATGTGGCTACTTTCTAACGTTACTTGCTATAAATGCAGCGAACGTTACAAAGCTGCTAAAGTACGTAGTGTTGGTGTCCTGCTCAGCTTCCAGACCAGAGTCTGATAAGTCTTAAGAAAACTCAAGAATTTAAATTAACTTGACCAAAATAACTTAATTATTAATCACAATGATACGAATCTACGAATACAGACTAATGTGAGAATAACTATGCACATGTTTGAAACTTCAATGATTCCATGATGTGAACTTTGCAAAAGGTTTCAATTATTCACATTATAAAACATAAAAGCTACATTTTGATGTTCATAAATATTAACATTTATGTAAAGGCCTTAAATATTTTTAGCAGTTAGGCTAACACCATTCATAGTTTGTGAATTATTTCTGCTTATTAGTTGCTAAAATACCTTTTTTATGTGTATGTGTTTAATATTTTGTTTTCCTGAGCCACCTTTTGTTTGCATTCTTTCATTGATAAAACCACATTATTTGCACAGAAAGTCATCTGGAGGATTTTATTTTTATTGAATCTTGAATTAATCTCATACAGAAATCTTTAGCGAAAACAACGACAAGATAATATAGCATGACACAACTATAAACATTTAAGGGTATCATGTAATTTGAAACAAATATTTAAATCCTTACACATTTTAACTGCTTTTATTGCTTTATTAATCTTTAAACTATATAAAGTTTCTATATATTTCATTTCGATCATAAAATGTGGTTTCTACTAAAATTTTTCATATAAAATAAGAGTGAAAAATATATTCTTTTAAATCAATGTCACTCTTGTCATAAAAAATGTCTGTTTTCCTGAAAAATAGTTGAACCAGTCAATTAGGGCTGTACATATCGATTATTTTTCAAGTCGATTAATCTAACGATAATTTATTCAATTAGTCGATTAATCTAACGACTAATTTTGTTTATTCTAAAGAAAGAAAAGTTGCCTATTACTAATTAACATACCAATTTATCCTAAATAAACATCACAAACATGTCTAATCAATAAATCTATATTCAAATCTTAATCGATTACGTCTACAAATCGCCCCAGCCCTACAGTCGCCGTCTTAAATATTCTAAATGTAACCTAAATTATTACAATCTTAAAATAAATGACAATGTTTCAGCCTCATCACTGCAAAACACACTTTTCCACAGAATCAGGCCCGAGAAATCAAATTAACAATTTTAAATAAAGCTTTTCTAGTTTTGTTGGTGACACAATATTCTTATTGATATTTCAAACTGATTTCCATTTAATATTTTGTATTCTAGAGTTACAAAATTGCTTGGCAGGATAAGTTGTGGACTCCTGGCAAAGTCTCCTTAGAAACTTATTGGTAGATTTTACACCTGTGAAGCATACACTGTTAATGACGTTACCTTTAAGTTGTGGATGCATGTCAAACCTACCACTTCCTTGAAGTAATCTCAGAAGAACAAAAGGTAATGCATCAAAAACAATTCCAAAATCTCAGTGTGTAGCTGGAATTGTGTTGCCTATTTCAGTGTAAGATACACAAATACAGTGTAAGAAAATAAGAGTCATAAGACTTTTCATTTAGCAATTGTGTCACCAAAACAATATCACTTTTAACCCAGCTATCAAAGAAATAGTTTTACTTTTAAAACTAATATCTTTATTACTTCAAAATTAAACAATTAACAAGGATAATAATGCTGTTTATAATAGTTGAACAGAGAAACAGGGATTTTATACTGGCTACCGTCCAGGAAGACGATGTCTTAACCATCGGCAGCAGAGTCAGTAAAGTTTGATTTGTTTGTTGGATTTTGTTCTCAATGTTGTGATGCTATTGGGAAATCCTTTATACATAAATGTAGGTTCTTTAAGACTAAACCTGCTTGAACCACTGGAAGAATGAGCTATAATGCATGAATCACTGAAACATGTCAAAAACAAGAAAGCTCTTAAAATGGTTTCATTATTATTATGACTCTTACAAATAGCCAACTATTGCTGACACAATTAACCCATAATAATAATCAGGAACTGAAACGGCGTTACTTTCATTTTAACTCGGTATATCCTTTAAGCAAAAACAGCAAACCAATACTTTAGTAGTAACTGTAGGCTGAACATGAAATAGTGTGTCAGCCTATATGCACACAGTTCAAGCCAATAAGAAAGTGGAACAGTTATAGTATATAGAAAATGTAAACATTGTGCTATGAATTTGTACCTGATGTCAACTGGCACAATGATATACACATGTTCACCATACCGGCAGGTCGACAGAGGCATCATGTTCAGTTGAGATGATCAGTCTCATGTACATTCTGTGAGAATATTGTTCTTGACACAGGTCATCGCTTTGTCCGGGTCAGTGAACTCCCTGTCCTCCCCTCTGTACGTGACCTCTGTGAATGCAGCCCGAGCTTTAGTCACAGTTGTCGTGTAGTCCGGGAAGATGGTAACTGGTTCCCCGTTGAAACGGAGCGGACCGCGAGTGCGGGCGCGTCGCAGTATCTGGACACAATCTTGGTAATAATGAAGCTTAGTTGGTACTTGGTAATTTCTTCAGCCTCGTGTCCATCCGGGCACCACCGTGGACTTGTCCCACTATCCGATGAAGTTTAGTAATAGTTTACTGTTGTATGGGAAGTATTACACTTTACGGTTGAAATAGAGGCTTAAAGGGAGCACATGTCGCTCTATCTAGGTCTATTGTTTCACTTTTGCGGCAGAGCCACGCCCCCAAAGCGCAACGCATACAACATTATAAAGTTTAATCACGTAGACATAAGGGGATTGTTAGTCAACATTGTAACGGGAAACTAGCAGGGCAATTACTTAACGCTAAAGCATATAGAAGAATAGAATTGACTTTATGTCTATTAACTGTTTAAATAAAAGCGTGTTAAATATCTCACTGCTCCAAAACAGCTGATTCAAACTATCAACTCGTTGTGAATCCTGAAGCTGCTTCAATCAGCTGTGCTGAAGCAGGGAGAGAATAAATTATGCAGGACAGGGGGAAACTTTCTTCAGGAAAGGGTACGAAACACTGTCGTAGTACATAAACTTCAACAAGATTAATTCGTACAGCCAGCAAAGTCTTGCACACTGTTGCACACTGAAAAGCTACACGATATCATTTTATCTTCTTTTGGACAACTGTAGCTACATACAGTCTATGAGTAGCAAACACGTGAAGACCTTTTAGGACAAGATGACAGTATTTTATAAAAATGATCTTTCCTGCCTCCATGAATCAATAAAAGCTCGTATTTACCAGAAGCTGCTGGAGACAGAAGGACCAACAGGAACACAAACTTCTCCATGAGAGAGGAGGTGAGTCTGTCTGCTGCTTTCAAGTTACCTGCTCTTTCTCTGACAGTGGGGAGGGGAGCTGCAGAGGAACTGCTGCACTGCCTCCTCACTGTTGCGACACTGTTGGGTGGCGCCCACAGTCTTTGCTGTGTGCTGGCAGAAGTCCAGGCAGGAAGGTCTAAGGTTAAGTTAACATTACTGAAAATGTGGTGGAAAATAACTCTTCGCAATTTGATTATGTGTTTAATCTTTTGTTTGCACAAACAGCAGCTATAACCCTTTAGGCCTCAGCCTCCTTTGAAACTGCCTGCTATAAATCTGCGGTATAAAAGAGAATAAATGTTGTATTTGTGTCATGGCCGGTCACTAAACTGACTTCCTCACCCTCACATCGTCCCGTCAGGTAGAAACTGTTGCTTTCTGGGGAAAACTGCTTCTTAGCGATATCCGGAGTCCTCTACAGTCTGCGCCTCCGCCATGATCCAGCATAGAAAATCCAACAGAGAACAACAGATCCAGACAACAGACCCGCTGCTGCTGATCCTCCTGCTGATCCTCCTGCTGCTCCTGCTGCTCCATCTGTATAATATAACCAGTCTGTAATGTGCCTGCTGTCTTTTTTTGTTTTTGTAGAAATCTTTAGGGATGGGACGCTCGATACTGACGTGTCGACGCTGCGTTGAGGTCGGTCGAGATCCTGAAGCGCGGTGAGGTGTGGTTTACGTCAATGCCACGTGACCGCAGTGAAGCGAGGCTCCGGTGCGTTTCAGCCCTGTTTCGACAGGTGGCGCATCTGCCGCTTCTGCTCTTGATTCACAGTGGTTTTAAAAAAACCACACATCAGCCTCTAACTCATTTCACAGATTCCTTTGATTTATTGGAGCGACGTGCTGTAGTATATCCGCACCTGTAGGCCTATGATGGCAAAAAATACTTCTTTGCCAGCAACAAATGCCCCATGTGACCAAAACTTTTCCAAGGCTGGTGATGTCAATTATGAAAAGGCCTCAAAACAGCTGAATATTTCTGAATAAACTCTTGACATATAACAAATGTGAGACATTGTTCCACTTTTCTTTGATCAGTCTTGAAACAACTTCAACTTTACTCAGTTACTACTGGAAATAAATAAAACACTATTAGAAAATAAGGACTTTAAAAATAAAGCCCAAAAAATAATTGAGAAATAGTGGAGACAAGCAAATTTATTTAACGAGTTTGGAAAATGCTGGGAATTGATGAAATACGAATTTAGAAATTTTGCGTTGTCATTTGGGAAACGGTTTGCTAAAGCAAATAAAGAAAGATAGACCCGGATAATTACAATATAATAAGATTATTAGAGAAAGTACATTTATCTGGAGAAGAACTGCAAGAACTGTCATCTCTACAACTTGAATTGAACAAAATATATGAAGAAAAGGCCAGAGGTGCCTTTGTCAGATCCAGAAGAAAGTGTCTAGAACAAGGTGAAAAATGCACTAAATACTTTTTTAATCTAGAAAAGAGAAACTATGAACAATCATCACTTTGTAAACTATATAGTTGTGGATTTTATCATGGCTGCAACTTCGGCCCAAGCCACATTGCCCCATGTAAGCAGCTTGTCTCTCTCTTTTGAAAATAAACATATTTCACTCAATTTAAATGTAAAACTACATTATTATTATTAAAAGGGTGTATTAAAAGAAATGGATTTGTTCTAGTATAAACAAATCACCAATCAACATAGGCCAACATTCTTTGTATAAATATCTGTTTACATGTGTTTAACAGAAAGTGTGAATATTTTATAGGCCCAAGTCTGCAAAAGTAAAGTTCCTTTCATTGTCAGTTTGTCTGTACAGTGGATTTAAAGTAGTTGATGGCATAAGACCCAGCAAAACCAAAGAGAATGACTAGTTCACTTGTGAAAAGCAATTTTATGAAGTTAGAACAGATAACTTAGCAGAGGATGCCTGACATCTAAATAATTTGAACCATTTAAAAACTCTTTGAGGTAGCCTCGGCTTTTACTTGAGATGCAGGGGCTTAATATGACTTATTTTTCAGTGTTACAATTAGTAACAGTAAGTCAGCCTGCCCAGTGACGACAGACTCCCAGGAGGACCCATGTGAACCCATGTGAACGAGTTTTCCTACTGAACACTACATCAGTGCGGTCGCAGCTCCCAGATACCAGTAGACTGTCTTCGACTTGACGGCGCCGTTTTTGTTCCTCGCCCCTGCGCTTCACGTTAAACTATCAAATCGACGAAAAAGCCGCCGTCATCTCGAACGCATCTACTGGTCCATCTGGGTACAAGTTAAAGAAGATTAAGTTATATTTCAAGAGCCGTAAAATATTTGAGGCCTTGACGCGGAGCTAATGAGACTAAAAGCTGAAATCGACGAAAGTTGAATATAAACTCGGGATGGTTTATCTGTTCGTTTTCCTGTTGGCCCGTCTGTCTCCAGCATCTTCAGGTAAAGACACGTTTTTTTTTTTATCAGTGTAAAACAATGTTTTTGGCGGTAGTTATCCCCGACAGAAAGTTTTTAGTTTTAGTTTCACTTGTAAAGCAAACATTTATTTCTCGATAGTCTGGTGATGTTATAACTGACCACGTAGTCGATCATTTTGTCATCCATGTTACTGTTTAGAAGAAGCTAGATTCAGACAGACTGTCACGGTTTTCAACCGCGGTGAAATTAGTTTTAAGTTGGATATTCGACAGACATTCGCCCAGGATCCAGTGACGGCTTTTTAGTCAGTTCACCCAGTGACGGTTGTATAAGTGCGGTTAGCTCACCTCTGATGGCTCGCTTTTAACCAACGGGGGTTAACTTAGGGACCATCAATAAATTACAATTGTGAGAACAGTGTTATGGGAAAATCATTATTTATTTCAATAGCTTCCAAGTCATGTGACACAGGGACTTCAAACCAATGCCGAATTGTAGTACTATACTAGGCAAATGAGACACACCCCTTCATATTTGATTTGAGTGCATTTTTTATTTTATATGAATATTTATTCATAATTTATTGAAAAAAGTGCTGTTTTTTTTCAATAGCTTCCAAGTCATGTGACACAGGATTTCAAACCAATGCCGAATTGTATTACTACACTAGGCAAATGAGACACACCCCTTCATATTTGATTTGAGTGCATATTAAAATTTATATTAATATTTATTCATAATTTATTGAAAAAAAGTGCTGTTTTTTTTCAATAGCTTCCAAGTCATGTGACACAGGGATTTCAAACCAATTCCGAATTGTAGTACTATACTAGGCAAATGAGACACACCCCTTCATATTTGATTTGAGTGCATATTCGAATTTATATTAATATTTATTCATAATTTATTGAAAAAAGTGCTGTTTTTTTCAATAGCTTCCAAGTCATGTGACACAGGGATTTCAAACCAATTCCGAATTGTAGTACTGTACTAGGCAAATGAGACACACCCCTTCATATTTGATTTGAGTACATATTCGAATTTATATTAATATTATTCATAATTTATTGAAAAAAAGTGCTGTTTTTTTTCAATAGCTTCCAATTCATGTGACACAGGGACTTCAAACCAATTCCGAATTGTAGTACTAGACTAGGCAAATGAGACACACCCCTTCATATTTGATTTGAGTGCATTTTTTATTTTATATGAATATTTATTCATAATTTATGTAAAATAATGCCTTTTTTTTTCAATAGCGTCCAAGTCATGTGACACAGGGACTTCAAACCAATTCCGAATTGTAGTACTAGACTAGGCAAATGAGACACACCCCTTCATATTTGATTTGAGTGCATATTAAAATTTATATTATATTTATTCATAATTTATTGAAAAAAGTGCTGTTTTTTTTCAATAGCTTCCAAGTCATGTGACACAGGGACTTCAAACCAATGCCGAATTGTAGTACTATACTAGGCAAATGAGACACACCCCTTCATATTTGATTTGAGTGCATATTAAATTTATATTAATATTTATTCAAATGTAAATAAAGTGTTTCTTTGAAATCTGCTCAATGCTGTGGAAGAAAATGACTGACTCTGTGTGGTACAACTGCAGTTGTACAAGAGGTGTGTAATATGTGTAACAGGTAGTAGTACTATTCGGCATTGGTTTTGAGTCCCTGAATCATTTGAAATGGAATCTATTGAAGAAAAAAATATAAAAAATATTCATATAAAATAAAAAATGCACTCAAATCAAATATGAAGGGGTGTGTCTCATTTGCCTAGTCTAGTACTACAATTCGGCATTGGTTTGAAGTCCCTGTGTCACATGACTTGGACGCTATTGAAAAAAAAAAGGCATTATTTTACATAAATTATGAATAAATATTAATATAAATTCGAATATGCACTCAAATCAAATATGAAGGGGTGTGTCTCATTTGCCTAGTGTAGTACTACAATTCGGAATTGGTTTGAAGTCCCTGTGTCACATGACTTGGAAGCTATTGAAAAAAAACAGCACTTTTTTTCAATAAATTATGAATAAATATTCATATAAATTTTAATATGCACTCAAATCAAATATGAAGGGGTGTGTCTCATTTGCCTAGTCTAGTACTACAATTCTGAATTGGTTTGAAGTCCCTGTGTCACATGACTTGGACGCTATTGAAAAAAAAAGGCATTATATTACATAAATTATGAATAAATATTCATATAAAATAAAAAATGCACTCAAATCAAATATGAAGGGGTGTGTCTCATTTGCCTAGTGTAGTACTACAATTCGGCATTGGTTTGAAGTCCCTGTGTCACATGACTTGGAAGCTATTGAAATAAATAATGATTTTCCCATAACACTGTTCTCACAATTGTAATTTATTGACGGTCCCTAAGCTAACCCCCGTTGGTTAAAAGCGAGCCATCAGAGGTGAGCTAACCGATTTATACAACCGTCACTGGGTGAACTGACTAAAAAGCCGTCACGATCCTGGGTGAATGTCTGTCGAATATCCAACTTAAAACTAACTTCACCGCGGTCCTTTATCAGGTAAGCTGCTCCTACATACGTCATCGATACTGTATCAACATCACTGTAATCAGTTCAACAACACTTTCCCGCCTCAACGTTACATCTCCTTGACTCGAAAAACTGAATGCAGCATTGTAGACAACATTTTCTCCCTGTAAGCCTGTTTCCTTTCATGGCCTTTGGATATTGCAGGAAATTGTTCCTCCTTCTTCAGGAATTCACGCTGGCTGTGAGCCAAGTTACTCTGAACAAAATGGTTTCTTTAGTGATCACTCTGGAAGGAGTGGCAGCAGGGGCGATTCTAGGATCAGACCTTTATGGGTGCTCTAATGAGAATGTAACATGTATACAACGCCTTGCAAAAGTGTTCAGTAATCGGTGGAGAGAATAATTAGGCTGACTAGAGAGGAGCTGGTGCAGAGCAGGGCGAGTCAGTCAAGGGCGTCACTTTGACACCACAAAGTGGTGGAGACATAAGTGTTCAGATCAGGGGGGTGATGATACATTTAGGTCATGAGACGTGAGGATGCACAAGACAATAAGTTTTTAGCACTATTTAGGTTACACATTTGATAGTGAAATATATTTGCGTGGGGTCTGGAGTTCCTCCCCCAGAAGATTTTGAGCATTAAACTCATAATTTCCTGAATTCTGGAGACATTTTCTGCATTTACATTGAAAATGTCTTTTTTTTATATTAAGGAAAACTATATTGCATTGTAGGTAAATAAAACGTTCTCAGAGCATTTTCATTTGTTTGGAAACATTTCTTGGTGCAAGATATTTTTCAGAATATTTTTAACAAATGCTTTCAAAACGTTATGGGGACAAAATCAGCCATTTCAAAATGTGGTGGGGACATGTCCCCAGCGTCCCCAGTGTAAATGACCCCTATGGGGTCAGTGGACCAGTTAGGGTCAGACAGCAGTGTGGAGCTGTAGACTCGTGTTTACTCCCTCAGAGGAGGGAGGATGTTAAAAGTGTTCAGTCTTGTTTTCAGTTAAATCTTGTTACATGCTTGCTTTCTCTTTTAAGTAGTTTGCTGATGAGTTTAATTGGTCAGAATCTGTGGAGTATAAATTATTTCTCCACACAACACTCTGAAGCCGTCAGTGACTTCTGGACAATCTCAACGCTGATAGGCTATCGTGACTAGGGATGGGAATCGAGAACCGGTTCCAAAATTTCTCAAAACTCGAAAATCAATAAGGTTCGAGTTTATTGATTCTGCTATCGAGACTTGAGGGTCCTATGATGTAACGTTATGTCTCGAGCCTCAAATCTGATTTAATTTGAAACGCAATGGATAAGAAAATCATCAGGCTGCTGTCTCTGCCTGCTCTCTGTCACCTAACGTTACGGTGAGGGTTAAGTTAGCTCCAAATTACTGTAACGTTAGTTGATGACAGCTACGCTCGTTACTGTAAGTACGTGCAATAAAACCATTGCAAGTAAAAAGACAATACTTTATCAATACACCTGTCTGTAAGGTAACGTTAAACATGTAGAAATGGTTAATTTAATCATCTCTGTCCTCAGTATCTCATCCTGTATGTTTTATACAAACACAGCTAAAGCTTGCTTGGCATTAGCCAAATGTTAAAAACAAGCTAAATAGAAATCTGCCTGTCTGGAGCACAGACTGGTCTGTAGTCTTAAAAACTAAGCTCAAGTCTGGTCTTACTTAGTAAATCATCACCAAATAATAGTAAATTATTGATAAAGAATCAGATCGTTAAGCAGTCTCAATAAGGGTATCAATATAAATAAAAATTAACGATCCCCATCCCTAATCATGACTCAGCGTAATACGACTTCCTCGTTTGAGTTGAAAATATTCAACTCATGCGAAGGCCTTGCGTCGCCGGCACCGCCCCCTTTTCACCACCCGACATCGCGGCTCCACGCGCCTTTGCATTGACTTTGTATGTAAACGCACCTTCCCCACTTCGCTTTTGGTCTGAACGCTGAAGACTATCTCTGTACTCAAAAGGCCTTTTTCTCTCAAATATTGTTTACAAATCTGTGTTAGTGAGCACTTCTCCTTTGCCCAGATAATCCATCCACCTCACAGGTGTGACATATCAAGATGGCCCTAAGCCCAGCCGAAGGTACACCTGTCCAATACCCATACTGTTTATAAGTGACAGATATTTATTGGTGTGTCATACAGCAAACATCAAACCAACAACCAGACAGCTGCTTTACAAACACAAAGTGCTATACAAGTTATTCTAAAGGCTCGTGCAGACTGCAGGATGTTCACGCTAGGGCTGGCCCGAATGTCTTTTTTTGAGCTTCGACAGTAATTAAGAGCGAATAATTGAAGCTTCGGATCGGATATTGAGCAGGTGAAGAGCGATGCATGCTGAACGGGGTTGGTGGCTGCTCTACAGAGCAGGGGGAACCTTAGCTGAGAGTCCAGAGTGAGAGAGTCTGATCCAGCAGGTCCAGAATCCGGGAATAGTTTAGCAATG